CTCCCAAAGGTTCATGTAGTAAAGGAGTGGGCCCCAGTGTGGCACCATTGGGAGGTGGTGTGACCTATGGAAGATGGGGTCTTGTGGGATTCTTTAGGTCATTTGGGATATGGGAAGATAATCTGGGGGACCCCAGCTCCTTTACCAACCCTTTGTTTGTTTGTTTGTTTATTTACTTGATGAGACAGGATCTGTCTCCATAGACAAGGCTGGTCTAGAATTCGTAGGTAACTCAGGCTAGCTTCAAACTTGCTGCCCTGTCTCAGTCTTAATATTTCTGGGATAACAGGTATGTGCTGTCTTGCACTACTGCTATGAACTCTTTTTACTGTTGTGTTGATTCTAGGCACTGGTTTTCCCCAGAAGCTCTACATGTTTTCTGTGTTAGAAGCACATGGACTCTGAATATCACTTCCATGGTAACTCTGCCTTACCAGAGTTCCCCAATTCTGAATCAGTCCTAATTTAGATCCTTGGCTCTGGATTTTCCTTTTAGTGAGAATGATATAAATTGGGACCTGCATCTGTTTTAAGTGCAGACTTGAGTATCTGTCCTTTCCTTAGGGATTTTTAATAATCTCAGCCTGGCATGGACCAGTGTGTGAACACTTTTAGGTCAAGGGCACCCCTCCTCAGGTTCCATTGTGTCCATGGCCTGTAGCTTAGACTTCCCTTCCCTGGTAAGTGAGGCAGCCTGCTTTTGGACCCGCTATGAGTTCTGGTCACTGATTGAATGTGACTCCCTTTCTGGTAGGTTCTGCATGTTTCTGATACCTGGTGATCCCTCCCCACTTTCTGTCTAACTGTGAATTAAATTTTCTTAAATGTTTTACAGTGCTGGCACCACTATTGAGTACTCAATTGAAAATTTTTGTTTTTTATTGCTTTTTCCTACCAGTAGTGGTGATTGAACCTAGGGCCTTGCAGATTTGAGACAAGTGTTATACTGGTGATCTGTAGCTCAGCCCTTTTTGTATTTTTAATGTTTATTTGTTAGCTTGCTTTTTTAATAAAAAAATTTAGATTTTTGTATGTGTATGTATTGCCTGCATGTATGTAGTTACATGCATTAAGCCTTCATGAGGGTGCTGAGAATTGAATCCTGGCTCTCTTGTAAGATAACCAGAAAAGCTTTTTTGAAAATAAAAAAAATGGTCGAGCAGAATAGGTGAGCTTCAAAGAGACTCCTGTCTCAAAAAAAGTTGAAGAGTGATTGAGGAAAACACCCATGTTGGCCTATGTCCCAAGTCATGAATATATACATACAACTCTACATACTCCCCAAAAGGTCATAAAAACAATACTCATTTAGTGGTAATCCCTGAGTCACAGGGCAAAGAATTGCTTTGCTGTGGGCATTTGAACTATCAGATAGAGCCCACAGATGGATAGCTCAACACCTTCAGTATTTTAAGAAACCATGAATTGATTGCTAATGTTTAAAGGTGGTGGTAACGTTTCATGTAAAACTAATCCTGAGTTCTCTTGAGTAAGTACAGTATTTGATCATAGGCCTTCTTTCTATACAAAGTTGTCAGCAAGGACTGAGTGGCTGCATTTGCTTTCCCAATACTGGCCAAGGGACATTTACCAATTATCATTATATTTTACTATTGCTGCTATTGCTTTATTGTTTTTTGTTTGTTTGTTTGTTTTTGTTTTTGTTTTTCTGAGACAGGGTCTGACTTTGTAGCCCTAGCTGTCCTGGAACTCACTTTATAGACCAGGCTAGCCTTTAACTCACAGAGATCTTCCTGCCTCTGTCTCCCAAGTACTGGGGCTTAAGGCATGTCCCACCATGTCCAGGCTTGCTATTGCTTTTAATAAATAGTATAAAGATACCATTTACTCATTTCTCTCTCAAAATTCAGAAAAGGAAAGTTGCCTGTGCAGAGGGTCCAGCCTTCTGCAGGTCAGAGATATTGGGAATGAGGTACAGAGTTGGCGAGAAAAAACACACAGACTTCTTTTCTGAGGGATAAAAGCTTCTTTATTTTATTCTTTCTGTCATTGTTTTACTTTATTCTTTTTTTGTTCTGTTCTTCTACCCTGATGTTTCCCTTCTGTTTTCCTGATGACTCCCTTCTCCACTACTTTATTTTATCCCTTACAGCTTATATACCCCAGGAATATACAAACTACTGTAGGACCCCTGGAAAGCTCAAGCCTCCAGGATCTCAGCCCAGGACCTCGGTCACCCCAATCACCAGGCGGATTCGAAAGCTTGATGCAAACAGCATGAGGCTTTATTGTTGTTTAAGAGCTAACTCCATGTTAGCTCGGGTCTTTCACCCACCCACCATGGCGGATGGCTAGAAAAGACAGCTTGAAGCGGCTGCATAGAGATCTTATAAGGCAGCATAAGGGGAGTGTCTAGGGCTACGCACAGGCTCAGGATTGGTGTGCCTCCAGGCTTGGAGGGCTTGCCCTGTGTTGATTGGCCAACTGGTTGTTATGGCTCATAGGCCCTCTCAGAGCTATGCTCTGCGTGTCATTGCTGTGCACTTGTCCGTAAAACACACCTAGAGCTGTAAAGCATAGCACCATCAGTTAACTTCTGATTGGTTCCTTGCCATGAGGCAGGCATCTGACATCTTAGTGATCAAGGCAAGGTCCGACAAGCATGTGTTTGGCTGTTATGGCTGCTTAAATGGGGAGTTGGTCCCTTCACTACAGTGTGGTTACATTCTATTTTTCAAGTGAATAAATACAAGTAAAAAAACATGTTTTTTATATCCATTGCATGATTAAATATTTTACGTATCACAGGTGGGAAACAAGACTTCTCACAGATCAGGAGTTTTAGCCATACCTTTTTATGATTGCCAGAAAAACAGGTTACTAGTTTCACTTTTCATATTTTAGAATCTAGTCCAATTATCTTAATTAACCATCCAATTCTTCATTTTCTGGATACATGAGGTTAATTGTTTAAAGCTTTCCTTTAGCTTTGATGCACACTGAAACTGATGAACACATTTCCCAATATCAGAAAGAACTTGAGCTAACTCCTGGGACTCGATTGTTTTTCTAATCATTAACCTAAACCATAAACTGTATGACTTCTCAATAGAAACCCATAATTCCTAGCTGCATGACACTTCCTTGTTATTATTTTTTATCCTCAGCAGCTTCTGCCTTATTAGGGATAGAAGCAACACCTTACACAGTACAGCTTAAGAGGAAGTCATCTTCATAGTAATCCATAGGTAATAATGCCCAGTAGAATGGGCTATCTCCTTGACATAAACACACTACATTAAAGGCAGTGGGGATCCCCCCACACCCGTTCACACCATGCCAGATAGCAGAGAAAAATGGTAGTGGCAAACATGTAAAGTCACAGTGGTAGCAAGAGACATTCTGGAGCCGAAGCCCTTGGGGCCTTGCCTATCAGAGATTCACCCATCAGTGCCTTGCGCTCTGGAGGGCCAGTCTCCTGAAGTCAGTTGCCATGGCCATTGGCATGCCTGGTGAAAGCCCTGATAAAGCAATGGGAAGGACTGCTTTGTGACTTGCTTTGTTTATTTACATTAAGTTGCCTGCTGTGTGGACATGTCAGTTTGAAACTTCTTTGTGAACATCTTGAGTATCTAAGGGCCACCTGATTCTCCTTCTTTTATAATCCCCTTTCCTTTTATACTTACCTTATATTAACTAAATCAGTTCCTTATGGAGAATTCCTGATACTTCTCTAGCAAACAGAAATGGCTTTACTTGAGCCCTGGCTCCTCCACTCCGTCTACTACCCACACTCCAAAAGGATAATGCAGTTTTGCTGCCAACCAACTGAGGTTGAGCCTTTAAAAATTATTTAAGACTCATTTAATTATTTGTTTGTGTGCATGCACATGGGTATGTACACGTGTTTGCAGGTACCTGGAGTCAGATCCCCTTAGAGATGGAGTTATAGGAACTAGAGAATCTCCTAACCTGAGTACTGGGGATAGAACTCAAGTCTTCTGCAAGAGCAGTAAGCACTTTTCACCACTGAGCCAGCTCTCAGGCCTCTTTCTTTTCTACATGATGCTAGGGATCAAACCTTCATCCTTACACATCGTAGAGCAAGTACCTTTTATTCCCCCTAGACAGTTTATCTCAGTAGTCCTGGCTGTCCTGTAACTCACTTTGTAGACCAGGCTGGCTTTGAACTCAAGAGATCTGCCTGCGTCTGCCTGTTGGGATTAAAGGCATGTATAGCCACTGCCGGCTTGTGTTCTATCATTTTTAAAATGATCTATTTTCAGGTGTGTGTGTGTGTGTGTGTGTGTATGGAGAACAGAAGAAGGTATGGACTCCCTAGAGCTGTTACAGGTGGTTGTGAGTCACTTTATGTGATGCTGGGAATTAAACTCAGGTTATCAGTCTTGCCGGCAAATCCTTTACCTGCTGAGCAGTCTTGCTAGCCTTTACTCTGATTCCATCTTGTATCATTAAGTGACTCTGAGGCAGTTGTCAGAGCACATGTGAATTTGTGGAAGCAAGGATGGAAATAGAAATGGAATAGCAAAGTAGAAAGATGAGCCAACTGTGGTGGTAAATGCTTATAATTTCAGCACTTAAAGGTAGAGGCAGGAGGATCTGGATTTCAAGCTCATTCCTAGTTATATAATAAGTCCATGGTCAGCCTTGACTGCATGAGATCCTGACTTAAAAAAAATGTATAAAAATGGAAAAAATCAAAATACTGTTTTTGTCAAAATTTGTATCAGTTGTTTTAGTTTTGGGCACAGAGATTTGGACTTCAGGGGAAAAGTTGTTTATACTTGAGTATAAATAAATAAATAAATTTTATATATAAATATATTTTTGACGTTTGTTTTGCAGGTTGTGGGATTAGTGAAATGCTTTCTTAGGCAGTAAAAGATTGAAGATGTCAAGACAGAATTTAGTGGCTTTAACAGTCTCAACCCTCCTGGGTGTGGCCCTGGGGGCATT